GAAGGTACAGCAATATAAGATACATAAATATCCTCATGTTCCATAAACAAAGCAAATTCAGAACTTGGAAGTTTTCTACATGTCAGCAGATTTAGACAACACTGTCAACATTTGAAAGTGCAAAACACCATAGCATGTTATAAATTTTGAAGAACGACACAATGGTGAGGTCTCTGGGTTTTTTGCTTTTTCTATTCCAGACTTGGAGCCAAAGAAGCCAACAACCCAGAAATATCATGGAGTACAGATGAAAAAAAGCTCAAAAAAATCATGCTCTCTCTAGACAAAGGACCAGGAAAGGCACATCTTAGCCAGACAAAAAGCTTTTAGATAATTATTTACTCCAGGTAAATACCACAGAAGAAACTATAGCCCACACCAGCAACGGTTGAGTAGGGAATCTAGATTTACAACCTTGCAAAGCTGCGATGAAGCACCCCGACACCTGGGATGGTTTTTGAAAAGGCCAAGTATAGAGCTGGAACTTTCATTCCCACCACTGCTAATAAGCCCCACAATTGTGGTGTCAGAGAGATCATGTGGGTAGCCTATACTACCAGCCTTATCCAGCAATAACATGGTGTTCCCTTCCCCTCTCTGCTGGGATGGTGTCAGAGTAGGTCTAGCAGAGAGCCAAGACCTTTCACCATGTAATAACAAGGCCATCCCCAGCACAGTGTCAGTGAATAACACATGTGGAACCAGAACTCCTACCCGACCTAGCAGTATAGAGGATATTCCTGTTCAGGTGTCCATGGAGGCCCACAGCAACTTTGATTTCTACCTCCATGTGACAGTAATGAGGCAGTGTGTAACCTCTCTCTCTCTAACAGAGCAGTTTCAGAAGAAGTTAGCTAAAACATAAGATCTAAGTAAGTTCCAGAGTCTTAAAACATAACGTAATCACTCATCATACCAATAACCAGGAAGATAACAAATTAAGTTTTTAAAAGAATCTATAGGTGCCAACAATGAGATGACAGAGCTGTTAGAATTCTCTGACAAAAATTTTTAAAGCATCATGAAATTACTTCAATCAACAATTACAAATATGCTTGAAATAAATAAAAAATAGAAAGCCTCAGCAATGAAACAGAAAGTTTCAGCAAAGAAGTAGACAGTAAAAAAAACTAAATGGAAACTTTGGAACAGAAAAATACAATAACCAAAATAAAAATCTCAATAGAAGAATGGAGTGGTCAAAAAATATAATAAGTGAACTAAAAGATAGAAAAATAGAAATTACCCAATCTGAACAACAGAAATAAAATAGACTAACAGGAGAAAAAAAGAACAGAAACTTGGGGACATATGGGACTATAAAAAAAAAGACCTAACATTCATGTCATTGGAATTCTGAAAGGAGAGGAGAAAGAAGACAAAGCTAAAAAAGTACTCAAAAAAATAAT